AGAGAGAGAGAGAGAGAGAGAGAGAGAGAGAGAGAGAGAGAGAGAGATGCCCCGTCCATGGGGGCGACAGAAGCCCCAAGCAAAATGGAAGGGTCGTGAGGGTGTCGCCCAGCCCACCCAGCCTGGCCACTCGGAGCCGCCATCGCCATCGCCAAGCTCGTCGGTGGATTTCAGTGGACTCCTGTCAATCGAAACGGACGGATCGTCATCAAGGCAGACGGCAGAGCAGTTCGATAGAAAGCCGCAGGCCATGGAAGAGATTCAAGAGAAAGACAATCCTGTCCTAGGCATCGATCTTGGCACTTCCCACTGCTGCGTAGCTCTGTTCCGCACCATGGACGACATCGAGATCGTTCCAAATGAACACGGCCGCAGAACTACCCCTTCCTACGTGGCGTGGGACACCGAGGACAATCGACTGGTGGGAGAAGCTGCGAAGAAACATGGTATGAACTATCCCGGAAAGTGCATATTCGAGGTCAAGCGGCTGATGGGGCGATCATTCCGGGATGCCAATGTCCAGGAGGACGCAAAGATGTGGCCTTTCGATGTGATAGCTGGTCCTCATGGCGAAGCTGTGGTCAAAGTGCCCGATGCACCGAGGGGGGGGCAAAGTACTTTCAAACCTGAGGATGTTTCGGCCGTGCTGCTGAAGAAGATGAAGCAGATCGCTGAGGAGTACACCAATCGCCGTTCGATCGCGGATGCGGTCATCACCGTCCCTGCGTACTTCAATCACAGTCAGAGGAAGGCGACTATGGCCGCCGGGGTGAGCGCAGGATTGCGCGTGTTGCGACTGATGAGCGAGCCGACGGCTGCGGCGTTGGCCTACGGCCATCAGCGGATGATCGGCAGAGGGCCTTCGGCGAAAAAGCTGGTGGCGTTTCACCTGGGTGGGGGAAGCTTCGACGCATCGGTTATGACCGTGAAGGTTGCTGGACCGGAGGATCAAGAGATTCAAGACTGCAGCTTTGTAGTGAATGCAGTGGCTGGAGACTCTCATCTGGGAGGTATAGACATGGACAAACGCCTGCTTCGGCACGTGGCCGACAAGCTCAAGAGTCAGATTCAAGGGGAAGACTTGCTCGGCAATCCCTGGATTGTGCCAAGGCTTAACGAGGCTGTCGTGGATGCGAAGCACGTTCTGTCCGTCAGGAAGGAGACGGAGATCAAGGTGCATTACCGTGGCGATGTACTCAGCTTGAGACTGCGTCGTTCTGAGTTCGAGATGCTCAACCAAGACCTGTTTGAGCGAATGCTAAGGATCGTCGAACAAGCTCTTCAAGATTCCAAGTTCAGGAAGGAAGAGATCTCGGCTGTCCTACTGTCGGGCGGATCTACGGTCATTCCGAAAGTGCGAGAGATGCTGACGGCGTTCTTCGGCAAGCCGCCCATCAAGTCGGTCAACGCCGATGAGGCTGTGGCGTTTGGAGCTGCATTGCAGGCCGGTTTGCTCGCCCGAAGAAGGGGCGGCAAGTGCGCAGAGGCAACAAGCATAACAGTGCAAGATGTGACGTCAACTAGTATCGGCGTCTTGACGAGGTTCGACATCATGCGTGTTGTCGTCCCCAGAAATTCTCCCCTTCCAGCCTCTGGAAGTATGAAGTACACTTTGCTCGACGACCAGGAATCGTTATGGGTTCCGTTGTATGAAGGCGAACGTGCTCTGTGTGCTTATAATCGCTTGCTGGGGGAGCTGACGCTGGACGGGTTCACGCCTGGCCCTGCGACCTTGCAGTCGGCCATCCGAGTTGTGCTCAGAATCGACCGCCATGGGATTCTGCATGCTGCAGCAGAGGTGCTTGCGAAGCACAAGGACATCGGGAGAAGGGTGAAAGCGATCGTCACACTGGACACGGATGTTGCCCACTCCTCGGCCGACGGGACGGAGGCATCGGACTGCTACACGGCAGAGGCCAAAGCGGAGGACACCAGGATCTGGGCAGCGGGAGCGTCTAGGAACAGACTGCGGGATCTCATTCTCAAGCTGCGAGAGCAGCGTTCATCCAACAACTGTTGCACCAAACTCCAGCAGCGTGTGGACGAGGCCTGGGCGTGGTGGAATGGGCTGCATAAACTTGCGCCGAAGGAGGAGTACGATAAGCGATACGCAGAGCTGGAACGCTTTGCGAGAAAGCCTCAGCCGCCTTGTCGTCAATCCCAACCCACTGTGGTTTTTAAAGCCTTTGAACTGTTGTGCACGAAGCTGTGGTGTCTGTGCCAATAAGCATCGTCATGTCTTCTGTCTGTGGCAGGTGGTAGACGCAGGACTCGGCACGTAATGTGAAGAGTGAGCTATGATCATGTTCTCGTTACTCTCAACACAAGTCTCCTCCACTTTGAATGATCCTGGCTCTTTTAGGGCCTAGTTGCATTGCTATGTCAGGCATCTCATTGACAAGAGCTCGACTAGATCAACCCTTTTTTTGTGCACGAAGCTGTGGTGGATGTGGCAATAAGCATCATGTCATGCATCTCACAGAGAGAGAGAGAGAGAGAGAGAGAGAGAGAGAGAGAGAGAGAGAGAGAGAGAGAGAGAGAGAGAGAGAGAGAGAGAGAGAGAGAGANGAGAGAGAGAGAGAGAGAGAGAGAGAGAGAGAGAGAGAGAGAGAGAGAGAGAGAGAGAGAGAGAGAGAGAGAGAGAGAGAGAAAGAGAGCGAGAGGGAGAGAGACAATGTCTGCTGTGTGAGACATCTCATTGACGAGCAAGAGCTCGGCTCGTGGCGAGAGAGTGGCTGAGCTACCGTGTTCACCCGAAAGAACGCCCGGTTATTATAGCTGTATCTGGACTGAAAAATGCACCAGATAAGGCTATAATGCCCGGGCGTTCTATTCGGGTTAAGACGGTAGTACAGTATGCCGCTATCGAGTTCTGATTACTCCCCGCAGGCAAAAGTATGTATGTGTGACGTGGGTGACCTACGTTATCATTCATGGTTTGTAAAGCCTTAAACTTTGCAACGGGAAATTGCAGAGATACCGGTTTTCAAACGTATCGTAGCAGATATACCCGTTTCCAAGGAGGTATTGTGGCAAATATATTACCGGTACACTTGCAGAAATACCCCTTTTGGAAAGGTATATTACAGGTACAGTTGCAGAAATGCCCCTTTTGTAATGGAAGGTTTCTGCGCTGATTTACCGGTCGGTCGGTACTACCTTTTTTTGTAACAGAGGCCCCGTCGGCCTGGCCTGAGGCACGGGCTCCAATAGGAAGGAGACCACGGGTCCTCTGTTGCAAAAGGAGGTACCTACCACACGGTAAATTTGTCGCTGAAACGTCGTCAAAGGACGGGTATTTCTAGCTTCTTACCTGATAAAAAAAAAAAGAAAAAAAAAAAAAGGAAAAAAAAAGAAAAAAAAAAAGGACGGGTATTTCTGCTCAGATACACCTCGAAAAAGGCTGCGCTGCTCGCAAACGTGGCTGTTTGTCACAATTATACCTCAAAGCGGACTGGTAAAGTTGTTCCGAGACGTCTGTAAAACTTTTTTTTTTTTTCCTTTTTTAATTTTTAAAAAAGGGCGACGGCCTTGGAATATTATCATTGAGCTGACCGGCCCCAGGCAATTCATTAGTAGCTGGTTTTAGTCATCAAGTTCCATCATCGGGATTCGAACACAGGTCTGTATGTCAACAGATCATGGGTCTGTAAAACTGTCACCACAACAACCTGGGCTTTTTTAAGGGGAAAAAAAAAAGGGAGAAGGGGGGGGAGGGGGGGAAACTGTCAGTGGTATATCTGCAATTTGCCCAAGTTTGAATTGTTGTGCATGAAGTTCTGGTGTGCTGTCTGTGCCAATAAGCATCATCATGTCTTCTGTCTGTGGCAGGTGTAGACGCAGGACTCGGCACGTCGTGGGAAGAGTGAGGGCGAGATCCCACTGGTCAAAACGATTGGAATAACTATCTGGATCTGGACGTGTTTGTGGAGAGGTGCAAAAAACTGTAATTGATCTGCCTTTCTGCATCTCTTCCTGGAACACGTCCTGATTCAGACATTTACTCCAATTCTCTTTGCCAGTGGGGTCTGGCCCTGAGCTATGATCATGTTCTGATTACTCTCACCAACAAAACTCTGTGCCAGATGCGAGTAGCTCCTCCACTTTGGGTCATTCTGGCTCTTTGACGGCCGTGTTGCACTGCTACTTGCCATCCGCCAACATTTGCAATGCATCTGGACTCCACTTTGTCCAGATGCATTCCGAATGTCGGTCCATGGCGAGTGATGCAACTAGTCCCTGAATTTGAGAAGTGGGTTCTCAGTCTGGTGCAGACATAGCTAGTAGATGACATCATCACTGGAGTGCAGACTTGGATCGAAAAAAAAACAAAAAACAAAAAAAAACAAATGGAATGTAATTCGTCGGAGACGGTCAACCTGTTTGGGCTTCTTTTTGTAACGTAATATTATTTATTTGAGAAAACTAGGGCGCAGTCAGGGTTACAGTTTGTAATTGCATTTCAAACTGGGTTTTAGCAGTTTAGTCAGGGCCCGAGTTTCAATTGCAGTTGAAACTGCGTTTAGCAGTTTGAAACTGCGTTTAGCAGTTTGAAACTCGGGCTGTCTTCTTCAAGCATTTCAGTCAGGTACATGGCCGTATCTTTTTTTTTTTTTTTTTTTTCCGCAGTGCGCCGCTCTGCGGCTGAAAAAAAAAAAAAAAAAAAAAAACATCCCTTATGCTGTGATTGCGGTCCGATACAGGATGCTACAGTAC